ATATTGATGCATGTTTCATTAAATAAAATAGACAAGTTTTGTCTATTTATTTTATGTAAATTCTTTTCATATCGTCTGATAAGCTTAATAACATTATCACTGAAAAATATACATATTACATAAGCCGTTATCAAAGATGACAATCACATTCCAATATATTAAACAATACACGGAAAAAACAGTAATGATAGTCTGTTTTTGTTGCATGAAAGATTTCCAAGCAATGACAAACTCGTGTATACGGAAGCTTAGGATTAAAAAACATGTATCAATATGGTGTTTTTCTTTCATCTTTCAATGATAATGTTATTAAGCTTATCAGACAATATGAAAGGAATTTACTTAAAATAAATAGACAAAACTTGTCTATATTATTTAATGAAACATGCATCAATGAAAAGAAGCTGCCTATATATATATATATATATATATATATATATATATATATATATATATCTCAAAACGAAAAAACAATATCCTTGAAGAAGCCAATAGGCTTGAAAATTAAAAGCATTACAACAATGCGCTCACGAAACTTGAAGTCGGCATGACTAAAATATCACCACTCAGTTAAGTGACAAATTTTCCACATTAATATATATATATATATATATATATATATATATATATATATATATATATAGAGAGAGAGAGAGAGAGAGAGAGAGAGAGAGAGATTTCGTGAAATACATCTGGGGTTTTGGCACATACCATCAGTTTCTTTTAGCCGAAGTTCATTAGGGGTTTCTGGGTCTTTCAACATCATAGTTCCCACTCCATTAATAACACAGTCGATACTGATCGGGTATCGACTTGCATATATATATATATATATATATATATATATATATATATATATATATATATATATATGTACATTTACCACAGCGTAGCACTACTCTGAGTTTCATGCACAACGCAATCGGCAAGTACTGAATGGTAATTGATTGTTACATAATTATGAAACGGACAGTTTTCAGTCAGCATCTGATTATAATTGAAATAGAAAAAATAAGGTTAAATGAAATAAAATGAAAAATCAATGAATAAAAATGAATATGTAAAATAAACTAATGGAAGCCAATAAATAATTACACAAATTAAATAAATAATAAACAAATTAACACACTACAAATGCACACATAAAGACAAGTAAACATAATAATAACAACAAAGAACAAATAATGAAATAATCAATATTAAATAATGAATAAAAGTCTTAAGAATATTTTCTGTAAATTGTTGACTTTATCGTAGGTAACAGAAAAAAGAAGAAGCAAGAGAAAGAAAAAAAGAAGGCAATATGAATGAAAGAAAGAAAAAGGGAAGGAAAAAGGACAAGAAAGATGAAAAAAGAATAGAATTAAGAATGAGCGAAAGGAAAAAAGAAAGAAAAGAGAGGAAATAGAAGAAGCAAGAGAGAGAAAAAAAGAAGGCAATAGGAATGAAAGAAAGAAAAAGCGAAGGAAAAAGAACAAGAAAGATGAAAAAAAGAATAGAATTAAGAATGAGCGAAAGGAAAAAAGAAAGAAAAGAGAAGCAATAAAAGAAGGAAAAGGAGGAAAAAGAACGAGAGAAAGAAAAGGAATGAAAGAAAAGAAAGAAAAGAAAGGCAATACAAAAGGAAAAAAATCAAAGAATTCAAAACTAATGGAAAAATAAAAATGGACGACACGAGATGAAAATGAATGAAAAATGAATGAAAAATAAGAAAAAGTCAGACAAGAAGGAAACATGACAGAAAGAGAAATGAAAGAATGAAAAAAAAAATAAAATAAAACCAATTCTTCTATAACTGTACAAAAAAACAATAATACAAGTGTCTCGTTCTCTTATCTAAAAGCAAAGTTTTTCTTTACATAAAAAATATTTTCACTAAATTGTTGACCAAACAATTAACCAAACTACAAATGTGTAACCTCGATGTGCCTTTTAATACAAAAATCGTAGAAAACCTTCCAAAGTCTTCGTTCGCGAAATGAATATATATATGATATATATATATATATATATATATATATATATATATTAAGCATTACGCCCCGAGCAAGGCGTGAAGCCACTAGGATGCAGGGGGTTGCAGAAGATTTGGAGCGAGAGCAGATAGGAGTGATAGAAGAAAGGATGAGGAGAGGGGTAGTGGATAGATCAAGGTAACTGGAGATATCGATTGACATTACATTTGTATAGTTGGAGATTATAGCTCTCAGGGAAACAGTAATAGGGAAGGGTGTTCCACAGGCGAGAGGTGCGAGGTATGAAGCTATTGGAGTAGAAGAGACGGCTACATTTAAAAGTTTCTCCAGTAAAAGGGTGAGAGCGGGATGCTAGCCTCGTAGGGCGCTTGAATTCGCGAAGTCTGGGAACCAGTGAAAGCAGCTCATCGGAGCAATTACCATGAAAGTATTTGTAGAAAAGACAGAGAGAGGCGACGGCGCGTCTATGAGAGAGTGACTGTAGACGAGATGCCAGATCAGGGCCAATTATATTACATATCCGCCTCTTGATCTTGTCAAGAACTCCGAGGTAAACAGAAGGTGCACTGGACCATATATGGCAGCAATACTCCATGCAAGGGCGAATGGTTGATTTGTATATTTGAAGTATCGATTCCGGGGAGAAAAATTTTCTGGCGCGGCACAGAGAGCCAACTTTCCTATTTTCTTATAAGATATTACAACAAAAATATGTTAAAATCGCAATACAGTAGCTTTCGTGATTTGGCACCACGTTGTAATTCTCCGGGCGATGGTCACTTGTGTTGCTTTCCGTTTAGCATGGTCACGTTTGAAAGTGTCGCCCATGTGACGACAACGTGACCATGCTAAACGGAAAGCTGATCATTTTAAAAATTTTCAGTTATCTGTTTTGGATAAGACTTGTTTTTTCTATGTCCATCGTCTTTGTCAAATTGAACTGAATTGTATTTTAATGAATATTGTCCTGAAGAAGGTTTATTAAACCGAAAACGTCAGACGTCGACATTTCATCTATTTTAAACAAACATAATTGCATTTAAGGATTTTTGTTTGTTTTTTTCCAAAAATTTTTCTTCATATATATATATATATATATATATATATATATATATAGAGAGAGAGAGAGAGAGAGAGAGATAATATTAGTGGTAAATAGACACATACATATTCAAGATATATAAATATATATACATACATGCATACACATACATATATATTTTTTGAATAAAAAATTCCAAGAGGATAGAATCCAGGTAGAACTCAAGGTCCAGGACAGAGTAAGGATATAATAAAAAGGCTTAAACACTAATATTCCATGGAATAAATTCTGACCAGTGAATATTAGTGTTTAAGCCTTTTTCTTATATATATATATATATATATATAATAGCTGGCCACTCGTATTCGAGGATACCCGTCTGCTAGGCGACTAGCCAATCCTTATTTCTGACATTCGCTCAGGAACATTTATGTTTGCTAAACTCCCACAGAGACCACCTATGGTTTATACGGTAACTCTACTGAGCAGACTTTAGTTACAGTTTCTGGGAAAGAGCGTGTTATCTAGCGCGATCAACAATTTGAACAAGGCCAGCACGCTTATGCCCTCGGCCACAATGACTTGTAGCTTTTGTGCTAGTGCAGCTATCGATTGACCACAGGAGTTCCGTCGATCCAATTTCACTCACAAGGCTTGGGTTTTCCAAAGGTGCCGCACACTGCGATCGACCTCTATTCAGTCCGATAACATCAGGAAGTCGCCTCCTGACAAATGGACCATGGTGAGATTCGAACATGAGTCTCATGGTCAGAAAGCGAATATATATATATATATATATATATATATATATATATATATATATATATATATATATATATATGGAACGTGGTTAGAACGTTCGCTTTCTGACCATGAATATAAAATATTGCACAGTGAACCCCCCCTCTCTCTCTATATATATATATATATATATATATATATATATATATATATATATATAAAAGAGGGGTTTACTGTGCAATATTTTATATTTTTAGCGGGAGAAGGGGCAAAGTCAAGAGCTGCTCTGGGTGGTACACTTTCTACGTCATTGCATATAGGAGATTAGATATTACATCGAAATCTACCACATTTTTTTGCTATTTCTAAGGACATTTTCTTGTCCCATAATACTTTGTTTAGTATCTGAAAGACATCTTTCACTATTCATCTGAGCTTTTATGTGGTCCCTATTACGTTTTCTGTTAATAACACTACCCACTTTTCCTAGTGGTTCATATTCTCCTTAAAACTTCATGTTGTAGCCATGGTTTCTCGAAATTATTCAATAGAATCATATCATTGTCGCTTCCACATCTATGATGAAATTGCTTCGTATACAGATGACTAGATATTTCACTAGTTAAACAACGTTTCCTTTGTTTCTGAGGACATTTTTTCGATACCTTTGTTTAGTTTCTGAAAATACTTTTTTGCTATTCATATACACCTTTCCGCCGTTTGTTTTCCGCTACCAATACATTTAAATTCCTCATTATTAGCAGGACGTTCCATTTTGTCCCTCACCTATTCGATCCGTGGTATTCAAAGAATTCGTCAATAGAATCAAATCGCTTTTGCTTTGCGCCATTTCTTTCTCTGTGAGGAGACGGTCTAACATTTACAGCCATGGAGGAGATTAATGTGGATTAACTGCACGAAATCTAAGATTATTCCCGACTTTCTATTACCTTTATTAGAACTAATAAAACCGGGCATATTGCTACGTTACGCTTGTCAGTGAAAGCGGAAATGCATTTACAGCATATATTATTG